TTTGAATTAGGACAATAAATGAACAAAATTAAGCTGAATTTTAAGAAAAATATTTCTCGGATTCATTTTCTGTTATATTCTTTGTGATGTATAAACTGTGTGTAAACTTGTGATTTGTAAACTGGGTATAAACTTGTGATGTGTAAACTGGTAGATTTCATGGCCTAAGTGTAAGTATAGTATAACAGCCTAATATTCTGCAACCAAAAAACATAGAAAGCCAGTTCAGTATGCAGGTTTGAATAAAAGTGTAATGATGTGTATAAATTAAAAGTTTTATCGGTGAAAATGAAGAAAAAGAAAATCTTGTTTTAGACAAGGAATGCTTAACAAATTTTATGTTGTTGGTTGTTATTCAAACTATATATAACATGATGTGGCACCAGTTTTTTCATTTCCAGTAAATGAAGATTTAAGAACCAAATAGAAAAAATCTGTAAATAGAAATCACTGTATACCAACTAAGTCATCTGTTATTTGTGCAAAATATTTCATAAAAAGATATTTAAAAAATTGAAAGCAGGCTAAACTATACATCCAAGTTGTAAATTCTTCTTTACCAATAATAATGGTGAAATGAAAATCTCCAACAAAATGTATTAACCGAAATGATCAAAGCAGGCAATATTTAAAAAATAATTTAATTCAAAACCTAAATTATGTTGCTGGTATTCAAATGCCCAAATGGCTAAAACATAAAGATCTTATTGTATTATACAAAATAGTGTTAAATGATCTTTCCATACCAGCATTTATCAATTGTATACGTGTTAATAAAAGCTTATATGTAAAATTATTTTAAAGGGTTGTTCATTACCATTACCCCAGTGATTTTGTAATGTCATAATTGTACCTTATCTGGTAAAGATATGTTTGAAAACTTTTCTATTTATAAAATCAAGCAGAAAATAGTTTCTCTATTTTTGAAGAACTTGAAAAAATAAAATACCTGAAAAAAACCAATGTAACTCGTTATGCAGTATAATTGGGCTATACATCCATGCAATCTTTCAAAATGTTTTTGGAAGAATTTCCATTACCATCACTTTCTTTATCAAATAAAATAAGTTCTGGTAATATAGATGCTGTAAAATCTGCAAGATTGTTACTATGGCAAAATACCACAAGTATTTTATATCTGTTTAATATTTGATGAAATTTACAGAAATGTGTAAAATACTCTGGTTGAACTGTAACAGGTGTAAACAGTATTGGTGAATTTAATAAAAGTGTTGTTAATTTTATGATAAGAAGTTTCAAAGAAAACATTCCATCTATTATAAAAGTTGTTCCAGTTGTAACTATTGATAGCAATTTGTTAAAAATTGAAATTATTTAAACTTTAAATCTTTCTTTTAATAGTGGTTTTAATTTTTTAAACTCTTGGACAACTACAGTACAGTTCTTTAAATTTACAGTTAACTACGGTTCTTTAAATAATCTTTGTCAAAAGATAGCAGAGAAGTTTTCATATTGCAGGTTATATTGCAAAAAAGACAACGCAATTAGCAAAATTCTACTTAAGTTTGAAATTAAAAACAGCAAGATATTTTTTAGTAAATCTAGAAGAAATAATATTTCTTTATTTTTTAAGATTTAAAAGAACTGAAACAAAATCAATTTTTTTTAAAGAATCTTTTGTTTTCTTTGAAAAGCATTTATGCAAAGAAACTTTATAATGGCTTAGGGTTAATAAATAGTAATGAAACTATTAAATAGAGTACTGAGTACTATCTGTGCTTTGAATTAAGTTCTTTAACAAATTTTAAAACACAAAAAAACTTTGTCATTGCCAAGTTCTCTAAACCTGTCATCCACTAATATTTTAACTTTTTTTCTGGAAAACGGCATCTGTTGTCCCTATTTTCAAAAAATTCAAGAGAGCTATCTGATTCGTCTAACTACCGTCCCATTAGTCTTCTTACTATCATAAGCAAAGTTTTTGAGTCTTTAATTAACCAACACTTAATCTCTCATCTTGAATCTAATAACTTAATTTTTGATCATCAATATGGTTTTTGATCTTCTTGTTTTACTGCTGATTTGTTAACGATAATGACTGATAGCTTTTATCTCTCTCTCTGCATTTCTAAAGCCTTTGATAAAGTTTGGTATGCTGGCCTTATGCAAAAGCTCTTTTCTTAGAATGTATCAGGTAACATCTTTAAGATTATTGAACCCTTCCTTTCCAATTGTAGTATAAAAGTTGTCCTCGATGGATAGCACTCTTCTTTATTTTCTGTAACTTCAGTGGTTCTTATCTTTGGCCCTATACTTTTTTTAATTTACATTAACAGTCTCCCATAAACTCTCACATCTAAGGTAGCATTGTTTGTTAATAATACTATCATTTATTTTTGTCTTAATAAGAAGTCAACACTCTCTGATTGCTTGGAGGGGGCATTTTAGCTTGAAAATGATTTCACTTTTGCTACAGTATAGGGCTCTCAGTGACTGATGAACTTTTACTTAGATAAAACTCAATTTTTTACAGATAATTATTATCGCAACAGTCTAGATCTTCTTATACTTTTGAATAGTAATGTACTCATCATGAGTCATCTACTCTATATCTTCTTGGATGGATCTTTCTTGGAAACCATATATCAAATCAATTGCAAAATTAACATTTGCTAGGGTTGTATCTCTTTATCATGCTCAACACTTTCTTACTCCAGATTCTGATCTTTATCTCTATAAATTTCAAATCCGTCCTTGTATTTAATACTGCTGCCATATCTGGAGCTGATCTTCGAATGATGCCCTTTCTCTTTTAGATAAGGTGCAAAAACGCGTTGTAAACATTATTGAACCTGCTCTTGCAGCCAACCTCCAACCATTATCACATCGTCGTAAGGTTGATTCTCTTTCTATTTTCTACAAATACTACAATGGACACTGCTCTATAAAGCTAGCATCTCTTGTGCCATCTACTAAAATTCATTCTCGTGTTATTATCTAATAAAATTCATTCTCGTCATTCAATTAAGTTTCATTCTTTCACTATGACTGTTCCTAAGTGCTCAAAAAACTCTTGTTCATCTAGTTTTTTTCCTTGAACATCAGTTCTTTGGAATGTGCTTCCTTTATCTTGTTTTCCTGATTCATATAATTTGCAATCTTTTAAGTCGTCTGTCAATTGTTATCTTGCTTTATAAACTTCATACTTTTTCTTCCAGTAACTTCCAACTCTAATAGTGGTTGCTTGCAGTCTTGTTGGAAGCAAAAATGTTGAAAAAAAAAACGTTTTTTCTTCGCTTATTTACTTTGCTGTTAATAGAATACTAATTCTAATTAAAAGCCTTCTGTTTTTTTTGTTTTGTTTTTTTTTTCAAAAATGCAGAATATTAGGCTGTATACTTAAAGTATGTTTGAAGGAGTTTAAATAAATAGCTTTTGCTATAAAATACATCATAGGTGTCATATGTGAGAAAGGAATGAATAATCTCTCCTTCAAAACAAAAAAAATTGCTATGTACCTGGTCTCGAATCTATTTTTTTATTGCTATTATTAAATATGTTTTTTTATTGTTAATTGTGATAATTTTATAACTCTTATTTAGGGTTAAAAATTTCCGGAAAATATTGCTTAAAACTTCTGGAAATTTCTAAAAAATTTTATTGCAACAAACTTATAGTTTTTATATAGTTTTATAAAATTCATTACTTTGTTTCAAAAATATGCGTTTTATCGTTGTAGTATTTGGGTATTCTTTAAATATTTCAACAAAAAATATAAAATAATAAAGACCCACAAGCAAAAAATACACGTCTTCAAGTCAACTCTTTATAATCAAGTTTATCAATTTAAGAATCGCCATTTTTTTTTTTAAAGTAATAAAATGCTTAAGCTGTTATGTTATTTTTAGTTACATTACTTTTGTGAAACAACAAAAAGTAGATGTTTTTTGAGTTAGCTTGTCTTTTGAGCTTGAATATAATATATTTCTAGCTTTTTCTTCTCTCAACTAGGATGTAAAATATTCACAAAATACAAATAATAAAATCTTTTTTAGATGAACAAATTTTATTGTACATTATTTTTGTAGAGTGTTTTAATGAAGCGAAGATTTTGTAAAAATGTGTAAAGACGATTTAAGGGGGAGAATGCGTGAGGGAAGGGGGTGTTCCACCACCACAAAAAAGGTGATTTTCAAGTTATAGTTGGTTTTTTGACGAATTTAGTCGGTTAGTTGGTGTTTGACACAATTCAGTCGAGTAAATTTTAGTTTTTAGGGAATTTTTTTTTTTAAGAAACCAGTCGGTACTTTTTATAGATTTTTCTTGATTAACTCCCCTCCCCCTCCCCCCTCCCCCCACTCTCTCTCTCTCTCTCGTTTTATTGCCTCTGATTGAAAAGAAATTTTTAATGTATATAAAAAGATTTTTATGCATAAAGATTGCATTTTAAATCATCTTTATAAAAGGCTCATTTTATAAATGCACTAGGTGTGTAATAATTTATTTAATAATGACATTTGAATTGAAATGTTCAGTAAAATATCATTAAATTAACACACACACACACACAAATTGCGGTACGGTATGTATTTAAAACATTTTAAAGTATAGCATACTTTTTTAATTTATTGGTTTATAATGTCAAAAGTGCCCTAGCAAGGTTGTGGCGAGTGAGACTCAAGTCTTAAAAGCTCTTATTTAAACATAGCGGTGGAATTTATTTTCATTCAAAAGAAACTGGTTGCAGGATGATACACTTTGCATTTACTTTTTATAAACAGATAAAAATTCTTTATAAATAAATTAACATTGAAAAATAAGACAAATGCGTTGCTATTTATAGTTACAATAAAAAAACTCAACAAAATACCGAAAAAAGTTGTTTTTCAAAGGGTGTTTTCTAAAATTTATATAATCTGCTTTACAATATTTTAAACATAAAATTGTTCACAACAACTGCCTAAATATGATATAAAATTTTACCCATTAATTATAAAATAACTTTTTTTTCAAAATTTACGGAAAATTTACCGAGTTGAAGATTTCTAGAAAATTTTCAACCCTACTCTTATCATTGTTTTGATTGTTATTTTTAAACTTTTTAGGTCGTATTGCCGATCACTGGGTGAAAGACGAGGTTGCTGATAATTGTCGATATTGCAAAGTAAAGTTCACGTTTGCTGAGCGACGTCATCATTGTCGAAATTGTGGTAATGTATTTTGCGGAAAGTAAGTGTTTATTTTTTTATTTTAGTTTATGTTTTGTTGCAAAACGTAAGTTTTCTTGCCTTCGTTGACAAAAATACTTGCCAAAGTTGACAATATTTTAACTGAGGAAATATTTTTTAACAAAAAGATGCAGTCGCTATGAGTCACCAATAGTTCATCTTCGAATTTTCAAAGCTGTTCGTGTTTGCATTGATTGCTACGTTGAACTAAAGAGAAAGCCTAGCCTATCATTTAAAACGTGATTTTTATTGCTGAATAATGTTTTTTCATAATATTAAGGTCAATATTCAGCACTTAAATTATTTTTGGTTTTTCAAAACTAGATTCGTATTATGAATAAAAAATATATGTACATAAAATAAAATGTGGATTTTTAATTATTGGTATTTATTTTTAGTTTTTTGTTTGTTTTGTTTTTTTCCATCGCTTTTTATCTTTTCGCGTTACGCAAAAATCATTTTTCTTTTAAACGATTTTCTATAAGATTATTTTTTATAATACTTTAAAGCCATCACATTTTATATGTGTATTTTTTACGCTGATCCATTTTCTACTCAATTTTTTATATCTAATTTATTAGCATCTATGTTTTTATTTTTAATTTCTTATGTTTTGAATTCAGATTCTTCTGTCGAGTTAATGGTTTTTCATTAAATTATTTCCTCTATTTGTTCAAAAAAAGAAATTTATTTTAGAGTTTTGTTTTCTCTTTTTAGATTTTATTTTGATGGTTTAAGACAAGTGTAATTTTTATTTGTGGTTTTATTAAATGAATATATGTTTTTTTATAAGAGTAGTTTACTTTTTTTATAAAAATAATTTTGAGTAGTATTAATAAAATGAAACAGCCTAACGATAATGCGTTGTATCCAGGACCTTTGAGAGGGAGGGGCAAATTGGGCATTTGACCCGGGCGCCAGGCTTAAAGGGGCACAAACTCATTGTTTTTTCTTTCAACGAGTAGTAAACATTTTAATGACTCAGAACGTGAAATCTGCTTAGTTTTTGTGTTTGATGTTGAGACTTTAGCGTGTTTGATGTGTTGAGACTTTAGTATTAGTATTAAATTTATACAATAATATTTTATTTATATAATAAAATATTATTTTATAAATTTATTGAATATTTAAAAAAAGAACAAAAAAAAAATCCAGAAAATTATAGTAAACAAAAAAAAAAAATGTATTTTATCGGATATAGATAATTGTTGCGTTCTCCATTTTTGACCCGGGCACCATTGGCGCTCTCAAAGGCCCTGGTTGTATCGGCATACGATTAATGATTGCTCTTCGGACCTTTGTTAGCACGTCTCATAACATTATGTTAGGCTATTTTTTTTTTATTAGGGCCTCAAAAAAAATTAAATTTCTTTAAGGAATTTTAGTTGATACATTTTTTGCAGTGGCGTCACTAGGGATCGCGGACCACACCGGGTGACACTATCACAACCTGACATAGAGGGGTAACACCAAAATGAAAAAATAAATTAAATTTGACAGAACTGCTCATGCTCGTGTTAAGTTATTTTTGCGTTTGACTTAACCAATCTGGGTCTTTCGATATTCTTTATTTATAACTCTGCTATTTCTTCATTTCACACAAATATCTTTCGTCTTTTATTCAAGATCAAAAAATTGTATCTCTTAACCCTTTCATAAAAGATTGTATTTTTTATATCTTTCACTAAATATTGAATTTTGTATGCCTTTCACAAAAGATTGTATTTTTTATGTCTTTTACAAAAGATTGTTTTTCAGATGTCTTTCATAAAAATTGAAAAGACAATAGTGTTATGTTGATTTTCTGATAAGCCATAATGTTTTATTAGGATTTTACGATTTTATTTTCTTAGATTTGTTTATCATAAAACTAGTTATTTTTGATGTCTTAATATTCTACAAAATTTCGTATATAGTGTAGTCAACTTGAGGGTTAATTTGAACGAAATTTGAAATTTATTTCATTTAATTTTTTTTTCTTATGTCCTTATTAACTTTCTGACTTTACGAACATTTTATAAATAATTATATATGGTCTTTAATATAGGAACACTCGGAAAATGATTTGTGAAAGTCTAGAGAGGTGACGCCAAGGAGGTTTAATAAACCAAGGTTTACTAAACCTCCTTGGGTGACCCCTTTCTTTACCGCAGAGTTTACCGCGCTGGTACTGACACCAAACCAAGCAACGCCAATGATATTTGGTCAATATTATGAATATTAATTATTTTTTGATTAACCTAAATCATATTAATTAAACGTAACCTAAATCATATTAATTAAACGTAAACCATATTTAGAGAAACCGTGAAAATATCTTTTATTGTTTTTTTGATAATAAACACAACTTATCTGGGCACTTTGTGATCCCAACACGCCATGATAACTTTGTTATCCCATCATGATTTTGCACAGTGGGACGCAGGGTCGCAAAAATTATAAAAACATTTGTTTAAAATTAGATAAAAGAAGGTAGATTAAAAGTATATGCTATAGATTTAAAAAAATCCCAAAATATTAGTTTCGTTTGATCTGTAGTTTGTTTTTTTGATACATTCTGCTCAGGTGATATAATCAAAAAAGAGTGATTCATTATATATCATTTGAAAGCTAATCAATCCTACTTTTTAATGACAATAAAAATAGTTTAAATAAATCTTTAAAAATATTGAATATCAGCTATTTGATAAAAAATATTTCTAAAAAAACATTAAAAGTTAAGTTTGATGGAGCTGGAAAAAAAACATCTTTTCAAAACATCTCTTCCATTTTGCAAAAAAAAAAAACATTCAAAACATCTCTTCCATTTTGCCAAAAAAAAACCATTCAAAACATCTCTTCCATTTTGCAAAAAATTAAAGTTCAATATGTTAATTAACCGAAAAAAAAATTGTTTAGTAAATTAGTATGTATATGTATCTTTTTTCATTAAATAGAAATATTTAATGAACAGAAATCGACTTGATATTTAAATGTTAAATCTGCCAAGTGAAAGATTGTCTATGTACATCGATACTTCATTCTGTTCATTAAATAGAAATATTTAATAACAAAAATAAATGTTGCAAAAAAATCCTAAGCCAGCATAAATAAGAAAATTGAAACCTGAATAACTCAAGAACCGTAAGTAGTAGGAGGTTCCAACTTTCAGATTTTTCTAGTTTTCATAACCCCTATAATATATATAAAAATTAGCGAAATCTAGACATGTGTTGTTGACATTTTTTTGGCTTTTAGAGTTGACATAAAATCATCAACATTCAAAACACCATTAAATAAGTCTATTAAATATTAGCATATGGAGTATAAACTTTTTCAAATTCTCCTGTACCGAAAAGAGCTTTAGGTAAAGAAGCACAAAAATTTTGCTACAAAATCTCTAAAAGACTTTGGTTACATCATACATTACATCATAGGAAATCAATATGTTTGATGTGTTTATACGTCCAATGAACTCATCAGATCCAATTATAATTTCACTTTATAAAAATAAAACATATTCTTCATGTTGACGTAAATAAAAGTAGTGACGAAATGATGACATTAGTTTAAGAGAACAATATTTATCAATTTAACCCTTAAAGGACGGCGGGGTATTTTACTACTGCAGAAATATTTATTTTTAGTTGTCCAATCAACAAGCCTTCTGAACTGCCACTTCAGAACATTTTTTATTATTATTTAAGGAAGTTTTTCATGTAAAATGTTTTTCTTTTACTAATAAATTGACAATATTATTGATGTTAAATGTTTAGTTATGTTAAAGACGGTTGGGGTATTTTATATATACCCCATGCAAATTTTCTTATTATTAGTTAGTAAATCAATTAATAGCTAAAATGAATTATGTTTAGTTGATCACTTGCTTTTGCTTTAGATATTTTTTACAAGGTATTGGATATTACTTATCTTTTTTATGAGTGAGTTATACCATTATATATCAATATAATTTATACATATAAAATCACTGTCCCAACAATAGAGTGCTAATGTTGCATATATTTTGTTTTTAGGTCAAAAATATTTATATTATTGATACAAAATAGTAATGACTAAAATATTAGTTAAATATTTCTAACATATTTTGTTTGATAAACATTGAAACTAATTTTTAGAATAGATATAATTAATATAATAAGACGCCCAAGAAGAACTGCTGCAGTCGAGGCTAATAATATTATTTTTTGTTCAAATGAATTATCTTCAGTGATTATAATGATAAAGAAGATTATTACAGCTGACGATGAATCAGATGCTATCATTTCTGATGAAAATGATGAAGAAGTTTCAGGAAAATCACATTTTATATCAAAATTTTATTTCAAAAAATGGTGAGGAAATTCGGAGTAAATTTCCAGTTGAAGATGCTGCTCAGCCACGTGCACACCATATTATTCAACAACCAACTGTTCTAACAAGGTTTGTAGCTCAGGTTTGCGGCCAAAGTGTGGATACTGTCTTTAAATTCTTTATAACACCAGAAATGTTTAGAACTATTGTCAACTTAACTAATGCTGAAGCTTGTAGAATAAGTCTAGAAGGATGGGTTGACACAACAGTTAATGAGGTTAATGAGTTTATTGGAGTTCTTCTCCTATCTGCAGTGTTCCATTCTAAAAACCAAAGCATAAAAGAGCTTTGGAGAAGATTAGATGGCATCCCAATATTTTTGGTTTCAATGCCAAGAGATTAATTTTTTAACTTGCGACGATGCATTTAATTTGATGAGAGAGAAGCAAGAAATCAATGACGGTTTGAAGACAAATTTGTACCTTTAAGAAATATAATAGAAATTTTTATTATCAAATGTAAGAGCAAATACAATCCAAGTGCATATCTTACTGTCAATGAGTACTAGTTACATTTAGGGGACGTTGTCTATTCAAGATGTTTACACCTTACCTACTAAACCTAATGCTGAAACCTCTTACTGCTTAAACTTGCAACAGAATATTGTTAGAGAAAATGGAGTATGCGATGTTGGACAAGGTACACAAGTGGTTCTTGAACTAACTGATCACTTAAATGGAAGTAGTAGACACATAACAGCTGATAATTTTTTTCATCTTGTACGTGAAATTAAAAAAATTTTTCACTGGTATCATTAAAAATAATAAAGGAGAAATACCATTGCTAACCTTACATCAACCAGTTTACTCTAGCATTTTCGGTTTTCAAAATGACTCTACTATAGTTTCTTATGTACCTAAGAAAAATAAAGCAGTAATATTATTATCAACCTTCCATTACAGTAATGACGTTGTTATGGACCAAATTGAAAAACTGCGTATTATTCTAGATTACAACAAATATAAAGGTGGAGTTGACACGTTAGACCAGGTTGTCAGGTGATACTCAAGTTGCCGAAAGAGTAATCAATGGCCACTTACAATGTTTTGTAAATTTTTGGATATTGCAGCATACAATGCTTTGATTTTATTCTTGTCAATTCACCCAAAAAAAATGAAAGTTTTTTTTTTTTTTATAGGAAAAGAGAATTTTTAAAAGAATTGTCAAAAAGTCTTATTAAAAAGTTTGATGCAGATGATAATCTTCCAAAATTAGTTGCATATAATAATCTTTTTCAAGTAATTGCTCAAAATAACCAATTAAATCAAGGTCAACCAATTCAGCAGCAAATAAAAAGATGCAATGTGTAGCCTCTTGTTCATGACAGAAAAACCCGTCTGCAATGTGCATCATGTAGTCATTCTGTTTGCAAGGCTCATAGCAAAATTGTTTGCAATAATTGCTTTATTTAGAAGATACATTTTGTTTTTATTTAAATAAATAGTATTAAATATCACTTTTATTTAAAAAACATTGAGAAAAATGGTATTTTTGTTGAAAGAACGCATTTTGATTTAAAAAGTTTAGCATATTTTGTGTAAAAACTTATATTTTTAATTGGAGCAGTTCAATACCCTAGCCGTCCTTAACGTAACATTTTTTCCTGTCCTTTAAGGATTAATAAAAAATATAGATGATGAAGTTAGTAATGATTACACTCTAAAAAAAAAGAATGAGCAGCCGTGACACAGTGGTTAGAGTTCTGGCTCAGAACCCAGAGGTCTGAGGTTCGACGCCAGCTCCAGTCCAACAAGCTACATTGGTACGGAAGGAGGCTTGAATTTCTTGTTTCTCTCCCGCAGTGCTCTGTGATAAGGATAAAAACGTAAGGACTTCTGGGAATACCTAAAATAACTACACAAAAAAAAAAAAATTTTAACCTCAGGGTTGGGTATGTGATATACCCTCAGTAAGGTATAATTTTCTAACTTAAAATAAATAATAAAAAATGATATCTTTGAGGTAGAAAATTGACTAATAAGTAATAAATAACTACAAATCATTATTTTTATTAGAATTTTCTACTTCAGAATATAGAAAATTATACCTTTGTTTTTTTTAGCGATAAGTGTTTTTCTTTGATTTTTAATTGTTAATCAAATTTAATAAATTATTGCCCAATTTTAGGTATTATTTTGGTGCTTGCTCCTTCACTCTTTTCACTCTACTAAGAAAAAATCGTATGAGCGTCTATGCTGCAAAGCCAAATTTCTCTGAAACTATAGCTCAAAATTAAGTGAAATTGTAGACATAATTACTATAATAAATGCTTTTTTTGAAAATAAGAATAGCTTTGTACAAATATTGAGAAAATAGTTTTAGCCACCCTTTTATATGGAACAGTCCAATTGTGCATTGTAACTTTGAAGCAAAAGAATAAATAAAGTAAAAAAAAAAAGTGAAAACAAAAGCAAGTTGTTTCAAGTTATTATTAATATTGTTATTTTTTAACTTTTATTTGTTATTTAGATGCCCCAAGAAATCCTAACGGTCTTGTCACAGAGCACCACGGAAGTGCATTTAATCAGGAGGTTCACGCCTCCTTCCTTACCGTGACGTGAAATCAGTGTGAATAGTTACAATACAGTATTAGTAGTTACAACTCTATTCACAACAATCATCGTTACAGTCATTGCAAATAAAAACAAAGAGTTTCCAGTAATGGTGGACTGGTGTACCTAAAGGTGATATTCGATGAATTAAACCCAGATTTTTAATTTTAGAAGACATTCTAACACAAATCAAACAAAAAAACTCTTCTTCAACATTTTCCACAATCCAGTATCCTTTATTAGTTGTTTATTTTACTGATCTTAATATTATAATTATTTAAATATTTTTTTTCTCGTTTTCTCTCTTCCATACCTTAATTTTTCTTTTTCAGCAGATTCTTTTTTCTTTTTTTATACATTCGTATTTGGTGACTCTATCAGTATTGATAACAAAGTCAAGTCAAGCTTGATTTAATAATTTTATAAAGTCAGTATTGATGTGGTTCTATTTTTTTATTCTATTTTTTCTTCCTTCAGTTTTTTTAAACGGTCTAATTCTTAAGAAAAGTTATAGTTGACTCTGTAGATGTACTATGTACATCATTAATATGATGTACTATGTACATCATTGGTATGATGTACTATGTACATCATTAATATGATGTACTATGCACATCATATCAATAATGTACTTATTACAACATTGATATGAAGTATCATTGGTATGATGTGCATAGTACATCATTGGTATGATGTACATAGTATGATGTGGTTTTAAACTTTTTAAGCAACCAGTTATAAAAATATCAACCAGTTTTATAAAATCAACACTTTAACAAATTCGGACAAGTCAAGCTAAAAATTCATTATCAACTTGCAATGTGTGGATGACAATGCACCCTGGTTCTACTTTGTACTTCTTGTATATTTGAATAAATAATTGAAAAAATTCAAAAATAAAACTCCAATCGTCCAACCACAATTTTGCACTTTAAATAGATCCAGAAAAGATCCAGAAAAGTAGATAAAATGAAACTAGACTGGTTAGAGCATACAAATTTACGTGTTTTTGTTTCTTTTTATTTTTTAAATTAAACTTTTGTTCTGTTGCTTTTAATTGAAGAAACACATAAGTTGTAAAAGTTATAGAAAAAAAGGAAAAAACACAATTGCAATAACTCCTATACGCATTCGCGAGTCCCTACAATACAAGAGTAAATATTTCTCTAATTTCTGTCATTTTCTGGTAAAAATTATTTTAGATATAAATATTTTGTTATAAATGTTATTGCTTTGATTTTTATTCATTTTTTCAAGTTCATTTCCTTTAAATTTTAAACTTTAGTGAAATATTATCTAAGTATTAAGAAACTAATACTTATAAAAATACTAACAATCCTAAGGTAGCGCAAGTTAACATTGACGTTAGGGGTCGTCCATAAATTACGTCACGCAATTTTTGACCGTTTTCGAACTCCCCCTTCCCCCCGTCACAAAATCACCAACCCCCCCCCTCCCTATAACGAGTCGTCACAAAACCACCAACCCCCCTCCCCCCTTATAGCGTGACGTAATTTATGACGACCCCTTAAGTTAAATGTTTTACATTTCACCGGTTGAGTACGCTTAAGCTGTTTTAACAGATATCTGTTAAAATGATTTAAACCGGTAACTTGTAAAACATTTAAGCCGGTGACCTGTAAAATATTAGTATTTTTTATAGGCATAGGGTCCTATGCCTATAAAAATTTAATATGGAAGCTTCCTTTTTCTTATTTAATATTTTCTCACTGCGCTCTGTGACAAGACCATTTAGACTTTTTAGAGCAGCTTATAGACAAAAATTAAATTAAAAAATCACACAAAGTAAATAAACTTTGTGTTTGGTTGTTATTTACTAGGGTTGTCAAAACCCTGTTTCTTATAGAGGAGAGCGTAGTGAATAACAGTGGTGACTTACTATCACTTTCACCCATTTAAAAAAGAAGTTAGTCTGCTTAAATCACTATTAAAATGATTACATGTAATTTAAAAGTCAACTTAAATCACTATTAAAATGGTTACATGTAATAAATCAGCATTGACTATACTTTTGTACAATCAGAAGAAAGTGATATCATGTTAACTTATTTTTAACTAAGGTTTGCGCCCCGCTGTCCTAGATAAAAACCTGATTTTGACATCCCTATTATTTCTATTTTTATTATGCGGATGAAAACAGCTATACTTGTTCAGCTATACTTTGTTAAAAAATTGGTAATTCAGTTTAGCCATTAATCTTGCACAATATATCTTAGATTAAATAAGTAAGGAAGGGTAAGGAGCAACTACGCACAGAGGCGATTTTACGGGGGTGTGTAGGGGGTGTTACGCCACCCCCTCCCCCAAAGAAAGTAATTTTCAAGTTATAGTTGGTTTTTTTACGAATTTAGTCGGCTGTTTGACACAATTCAGTCGGTTAATTTTTGTTATGAGGACCTTTTTTTTCTTTCTAAAAGCTAGACGGTACTTCTTGAGGATTTACCCCTCCCCCCTCCCCTCATTTTATTCGTAGAATGCCTCTTACTACGCATACAATATTTTTTACTTATCTGTGTAAAATGAAAACATCCATGGAAAGGTTTTTATCAATTAAAAAAAATGCTTTGAAATTCTTTAAACACCAGCTTACCGTTCTTTTTTCACAAATTCACTCCAATTAGAGATATTTGGAGAATTTTAAATTATCTATATAACGTTTCTATACAAATAATAACAAATAACTTTAAAGTAAATAATCTTTTTACGAACCGCTTTTATGAAAAGATTAAAACTAATTTGTTTGTATTTGCATTACAAAAATTGCTTGTTTAAATAATTGCAAATTCATTGAAGCTGCAAGTGAATGATTTTTTACGATGTTTAAACTTTTCGTTTATTTAGTATTTTTTCTAGATTGGAATGTCTTCCTTAAGCAGAAGAATGCATGTAATTGAAATTTTAAAAAGTTTTATAAATAAACATTGATTTTTCTTAGATATCAGCTTCTATATATTTTTTTCACTTTCTGCACAAAAATTCTTTTAGGTCGAAACTTTCATCATTTTGGGCATTGATGCTGTTGAAATCTTAATCGCGTGTTGCATAAAACAAAATGTTAGAATTAGAGAAAAAAGCTTTCCTCACGCCGTAGCGACTCTGTTGCACTTATATTTATAAAGGTTTGTGTTATTTTAAACTTGTCTAAATTAATCGTTTTGAATGGAATGCATTATTTATATATTTAATTTTTTATTAAAATTTTAAGCAAATTATTTTTACATTAAGATAAAATATTTTTACTGAAACATATCGATATAATATTATTAAACTAGGACCGGGACTGTCCATTAATTATGTCAACAAAATAACTGAAAAATTTTGACAATTGTTAAAAAGGGGGAAAAGGGAGTTCAAGAAAGGTTGGCGTCAACAATGTTACTTTTTAAAATAAATTTAGTAACTTAAAAAAAGATTTTTTAAGTTACTAAATTTATTTTTTTTTCATTTTAATTTTATTTTGAAGAGGGGTTGGGGGTGGCGGATTTGAGTAATCAATTATTGACGTAATTTTATAGGAAACGGGTTTCTGAAAGTTTGACATTACATTATTAGTTAGTCGAATTGTTCATTACATTGTTAGTCGACCTTTCCACCGTCCCATACTTTTACCAAAGGTCAATTTTTTCCCTTGTAATCTTTGTAAGTTTTGAGCTTATATAAAGAAGTGTTCCAACAAGCTTTTTATTTTTACACTGTTTATATATATATTTTTTTCACTTATTAGCTTGATACATTGATTTGTGTGCTCTTTAAACACAGGCATTGTGCAACTTACTACTGATTTCCTATATGTTGTTTTAGCCGGTGACATATTTATGCAAAAATTTGAATGTAAAAATTTCTTATAAACAAATTAAAGCTTCCATTAATATATATATATATATATATATATATATATATATATATATATATATATATATATATATATATATATATATATATATATATATATATATATAGGGCCGACGACACGGGTCTTAAAGAGAGGGGGGGCACAATCATCAATTTGTGAAAAAAGTCCTCTATATCTTGGGTTGAGAGTTGACCTCCTCCACTTTAAAGGCCGTGTCGACACTATTAGCATAAGACTTTAAACCACGCTTTAAATAGAAAATCACTATTTTGGTCTATAAAATGAAAACTGTACATGTACCGATAAAATAATTATTAAAAAAATTGTTGGTATTACATAGTAGAACACTCATGTAATCGTTATTTTAAAAATAGTGACAGAATTTCAAAGTAATCGGTAACGCTTTGAGGTATAAGTAGCAAAAAACTGAGAAAACTTAAACTAAAACTGCAATAAATCCTACACCAGTCATTTAATCAGGCTGAAATTTTGTCCAGAGTTTGGTATGACTATTAACTACATTTGCACCAATTTTTATCAAATTATATTGAGTGATTTAAATTCTACAAGTGTTTTTATTGGCGCACCATGAAGTCAAAATTTGACTTAATTTGAACATTCAAATTAAATTATTTTCCGCGGACAAAACTAAATGATTTCAAAATTTGCATCACAGGGTACCTTGATGTGTACGCTAACTTTCCGTATAAGTGGCGTTCTTGGGACAGCTAGGTAGGCATTATAAGGATCCGTGCTAACCATGAGTAATTATCAGAAGAGGTCCAAAGCGTCCATTAGTATTAACTGGAAATAACAAAAAAATAAACTACACTGTTCTTAATTGTATTAATACCACCTTTTGTTGTTTACAAATCAAAAAATCAACTCTATTATGATTGGGCTATAGAAGGCCCAACAAACATCCTTTACACAACATCAACATCTGGTTGGATTAAAAGTAATCAATTTTTGCAGTGGCTCGATGAAATGTTTATTTCTCAAATTCAATAAGTTGATGATCAAAAAATTTTACTTTTAAATGGCGGGTTTTGTCACTTGCCAAGAGAGGGGGCTAAAAAGATCTATATATAAAAAAAAGGTCCGTATATTTTCATTTATAAGTAACTTTCTTTTTAAATTTTTCTGTACTTTAGTGTAACAAATTCATATACGTACAATTACGTATAATAGTCAATTTCATTCGTCAGTAAAATAGTATAACAGTCAATTTACAAAATAATATTTCTGAAAAAAAGTCCCAACGAGGGGGGAGGGGCCACTACCCCCATGGCCCCCCTCTCTAAAACCCACCACTGCGTGTCATTAAGCATACTCTTAAAATGTAAAGAAAACAATATAACACTAGTTTACATTCCCGCGCATTCATCTCACATTCTGTATCCTCTTGATGTTGGTGTATTTTGTCATTTTAAAGATGTTTGGCGAAATACTTCAAGAAAATTTTATGTTGAAAGTGGTATCAGAAATTTGTCCAAAAAATTTCCCAAGTCTCCTTGTACTGTTGGATAGAAGCAACAAAATTTACACTCGCTCTCTTGAGTTCTCTTGAAGCTCTATTGAAGCAATTTCAATTCCAAAGTGCTCACAAACATTCTTGAAAAAAAAGCCAGATATATCAGAACAGTGGCTGGTAAGGCTTTTATAGAAGAAGCAAGGTTAAATCAGTTAAGAGAAAAAGAAGACTCAAAGCTACTAAAACGAACATATGTCGAAATTGCAGCAGCATAAGAAGAAACTAAAAAAAAATAATACAAAAAGTGCCCAAAGATTTTTGAAAATCAAAAGCTAGAGATGTAAGTTTTATGGAACTGCAACTTGATTTTTCACAAAAATTGTGAAAAATCAAGTTGCAGTTCGTGACTCTGTTATTTTCCAAAAAGATGTTTTCCAAAAAGATGGCGCAGTGGTTAGAGCGCTTGCTTTATAAACAGGAGATCCAGGTTCGAAACGAGCTTTTGACATATATTGCATCAAGGTAAGGAAGGACGCGTGAACTTTTTGGTTAAATGCACTTCCGCGGTGCTCTGTGACAGGACCGTTAGGTCTTCTTGGAGCACCTAAAAAACAAATTTTATATATATATATATATATATATATATATATATATATATATATATATATATATATATATATATATATATATATATATATATATATATATATATATATATATATATATATATATACATATAAGGCCAAGAATTCTTTTGCACAAAAAGTTGAAGATCTAGTTTATAAATTTTTGATTTTTATTTTAAGCTCAAGCTTGCTTTTGTTTTTTTATTGATTTATTCTAGTTTTTTTTTGTTTGTATTATTATTGTATTGTATTATTATTGTATATTAATATTAAGAACAAAAATATTAAATTTATCAATGTTTTATTCATATAAATTTCAATTTTTTTGATGCAAAAATATGCATAAAAAGGAAAAAAAGTAAAATAACCCTGTGATTATTTTTCTTACCCATTCTGGTAACTTTACCGGTTACTTGCCGGATTCTTTTTCTTACCTATTCTGGTAACCTTACTTTACTTAACCTTATTTATTCTGATAACGTTACCCAACTAACCTTTCGTCTTTTTCTCACTTAATTTATTAAAATTAACCAATCACAACACTTTGGAATGTGAATGTTTCAATATTTTTTAAGAAAAAAATTACGCGCCAAATTCAATTCATATTTTAATAAATCAATAAAGCATGTGTTTTAAACGCTTTAACTCATTTGTAACAGCATGTGAGCGTTCAAAACTTTTAATGCAAAAAGCTCAAGTACTTTTGTCAGTAAAAAGCACAAGTTAATTTTGATTTTGTTATACTTTTATTTTAAAACTTTGCTACATTTATTAATAAATATCAATAGACATTAATAGGCGTTACATTTATTATTTCACTAAATGTAATATAGTATGAATATTAAATGTATATATTTAAAAAGTTACACAGATTAATTATTGCACATATTATGTGCAAATATGTTATGTAAATACTATACACACTTTTACATATTGTGCATACATCATTTTGTAAAGTTTTAGTTGATTATATATTGATTTCAAGATTAGTATAATAAGTAATATTTCTAAACGCAGGTATAAAATTATTAGCAAGACTTGGGTTATATAAACATACAAGATGGCGATGATTGCTACTGATATTAAGAGTATGTTGTCTATAACAATAAAGTCACGACATGATAGTTATACAGATCAATATAACAGAATTTTCATGGTCAAAATATTGCTTGTTAGTTGCCTTATCATGGGGATCAGTTGGTTTCAGGACTCCATAACTTGTATCGTGCCAGGTAGATTCTATATTAATTTTTTGGTATTTTTTAGTTTTGAAATACATTTTTTTTATTTTACTTTATAATATTGAAGAGACAAAAAAATCATAAAAGTTTGTTATTAACTTCAGGAACAAGCTCTATTGAGGCTGGATTTGTTTCTGCAGCATGTTGGATACAAGGGGTATATGTTTATAAAGAACTTCAGAGTCGTGTCACTGAAGTAGCATATTTTGGCATTCCAAAGGATATGGATGCTGATGGAATGTTAAGTACAGGAGAACTTTGTAGTACACTTTCAAAATTTAATAAGCAAAATAAAGAATGCTTACCAATGCATAAAACATTTTTTTTGCAGGTATTGTTTATTTTTTTAAGTTTAGGGCTTGATATTTTGTTTAAGATTTCTTTTAACTGGTACTTGACATGAAATTTTAAAATTTATTATCTAGATTTACTAATATTAATATTGCTAGGTTTTATATATCATTAAAAAAGTACTTCAACTCAGTATTTCTAAGGTGAAAGAGTTATCAAAATTAAACAATTCTTTCAAAAGTTATGATTAAATATTTTTTATAAATCAGTACTAACAACTATTTTATTTATAATAAAAAAACTCATTTATCCTAAAACTTAAATTAGATAAAAAATTTTCAATGTGGTACTTTAACTGGAGCATTGTCATCCAAAGTTTACAAGCTTATCCTAGAGAGGATTATATTGTATATAATTGATATTGTATATCATATATATATATATATCTATATATATATATATATATATATATATATATATATATATATATATATATATATATATATATATATATATATATATATATATACATACACACACACACACAATTTGAATACCTGTTTAGAAAACATCTGACATCACACTGAAATAGTCTGCTGCCGGGGGCTTCAGTACATACAACAACTATCTTATAACTCCCTTGCAGCTGCAAGGGAGTGCTGCTACATCAGCTGAGGGTTCGGCATGGGGCAGCAATCTTTTCTTTAATTATTCTTAGTTTTTTTCTTTTTCGGAAAATGCAGTATAAATATATGTAACAAAAATATGGTAATATTTTGTGTCATAAATAGGCTGTAGTACATATAATGTGTGTATATATATATATATATATATATATATATATATATATATATATATATATATATATATATATATATATATATATATATGTGTATATATATGTGTATATATATATATATATATATATATATATATATATATATATATATATATATATATATATATATATATATATATATATATATAAAGCAAGAGGAGGGCAGTTATTTCCATTAACACCAGGTAAAATGAACTTCAGTGTGAATTACTTTTTTTCATAACTTGTTGTTGTAATCATTTACAAGTAATCAAAATAATTTGTTAAATTTATCTCATTTGCTTTTTAGGCCCAGTATCTGCACACAAATCAACCAGTTCAACACTTACAATGCAAAGCTTGTTAAATGTTCAGTTGAACACAGGACTATCCAACACAGGAATGCGACAACTTGCCTCAACACTTAACAAATCAACAGAAACTCGACTTGTTGAGCCATTTTTCCAGCAAAAGTTTGCTGCTGTAGGAAAGTCGTTGAACAATTTTTTTCAACTCTCAGTTGTTGACATTTCAGCAGAAAAAGGAAAAACTGAAGAGAAGAGAGCAATCGTTCACTGCAAAAATCTTGAGGACTTAACCAACAAGGTGCTGCTGTCAAGGGAATACGGCTACAATCATTTTGTCAAGCTTGGCATTGATGGAGGAGGATCATTCTTGAAAATGAGCTTATCTGTTATCAAGGTAACTGATGAAGATGACGAAACAAGAAGTCCTCAACCAAAAAGTCTTCGCTTGCTGACAAGCTCAACTGCCAGAGACACAGGTGTCAAGCGTCAACTCATAGTTGCCATCGCTGAAAATGTTTCTGAAACATACGAAAACGTTAAAGTGATGATGAACATCATTCAATTAAATGATGTTTCATTCTGCATTTCATGCGATCTCAAAATGGCCAACATCATTTGTGGAATTCAATCCCATTCAAGCAAACACCCTTGTTGCTGGTGCAACATTGATTCTGACAATCTGTCAGAATGTGGAACTTTCAGAAGTTTTGGATCAATGAAGGAAAAATTTAAAGCCTTTGTTGCAGCTGGATCAGATACGAAATCAGCAAAAGATTTTGACAATGTTATCCATCCACCACTGATGAGCATGGATGACTCAACACTCATTTTGGATGTGATTCCACCAATGGAACTCCATTTACTTCTTGGAATTGTCAATAATATTTACAAGAATCTTTCTGATTTATGGCCTGGTGCCAAAGAATGGCCAACTTTGTTGCACATTCAGCTCCAGCCATACCATGGCGGACACTTTGCTGGCAATGAATGTCATAAGCTTTTGCAAAACCTTGACATTCTCCAAATGCTGGCAGAAAAAGCTTGTGCCTATCAAGCATTTGGTTTCATTGAAACTCTCAGACATTTCAAAGAAGTTGTTACTTCATGCTTTGGAACAACTCTGCAGGAAGACTATAAAGAAAAGATTCAGAAGTTTAAAACTTCTTTCCTATTCTTACCAATCTCCGTGACTCCTAAGGTACATGCTGTTTTCTACCATGTTTCAGAATTTGTAGAAAAACATCAAACCTCCCTCAGAATCTTCAGCGAGCAAGCAACCGAAGCAATGCATTCAAGGTTCAAGTTTCATTGGGAGCGGTACAAGCGCATCCTAACTCATCCAGATTATGGGAAACAACTCTTCAATTGTTTTGTTGACTATAACAGCAAGCATCTGTAACAAACAACACCTCCAAACTCAACTTTTTTCAGAAATATATGTCTTGGAATAAAAAATCAGAAATTGCACATTTTAGAATTTTTTTTAAGAAATTTAAAAACTGTTTTTGAACTTTTGTATTTTATAAAGAAAGCTTTTAGTTCTAGTCTCTAACTTGCAATATGTAAGAATCTGTTTATTTTTTATCATAAATATTGTTCAGATGAAGATGATTGTGAAAATATACTATATTGAATTTTACACTTTGTGTTTATTTTACAATAGAGCTTTAAAATAAGAAAAATGGCTCTGACAAAATTTTGAATGTTTGAAATGATTTAAAGTTATTGTATAGTGATCTCTAAATACCAACAACTTAAAAAATCACTGTAAATTATGAGTTTAAGCAGTTTATTTTTTTGGAAAATATTGGATTTTTCGTTATTTTCACTATATAACTTTAAAATGAAAAAAATGGCTCGGACGTAGTTAAAAGATTTTAAAAATGGCTCTAAATGTTCACACAAGGTCTATATAATGCCCACCTAAAAGGATTTGTTCGGTCCTTTCGGGTGATGTTATCATGGGTATTTACAGGGTGTGATATATATATGTATATATATATATGTATATATATATATGTATATGTATGTATATATATATATGTATGTATGTATTGTAAGTATATGTATATTATTCAGCCCTTGAAGTTAGAAAAAATAAAGTTGGCAATAAATTGCTGACCTTAAACTGTTAAAGGTTGGCAATAAAAATTTGACCCAAAAAGCTAATACCATAAAACATTGAAACAAGCTTGGCGATTTTTTGCCAACTTCAAACACTTTTAGGCCAGCTTTGGCGAATGCCGATCCAAATTTTGAGGGCTGTATTATTATACAATATAGACAATTATTTAGACATAAGTTAGCTCTTTGTCTTAATACACTTTAAAACTATGTTGGTCTGTTACTAAACAAAATAAAAATTGCATAAGTAATTTGAAACAAAATGTTATTATCATGCACTTAAAACAAATTTGATAGATAATTTAGCCTTTTTTTAAAAAAATTTTAAGTTATGCTTTTTTGTTTGTTTCAAAATTTTTTAAAAATATTTTAAACTATTTTCTGTAGCATAAATTAAGGAACCGTTAAATCTTTGTTATTGCTTTTGCAAAATTAAAAACATTTCTGGGACCTGTTACAGGCCACTGAATCAACAGTTGGAATTTAGCAGAATCTAGGTTTAGTGTAATTTTATTAGTGGGTTCTTTCGAATTTGTTTTTAAAAGAGAATAATTATTTTAAAAAAGAAATATTTTTAAGAATGGTGTTTGATGCAAAGAAATAATTTATTCAGAACTTTACAACTTTTCTTTTGTGGAGGAAAGAAACAGTTATCAGGTAGATGGAAGAAAATGGACTAGTCATTAAAATATGGTGTAAGCTTTGTGCAAGGAACAAAATATTTTACAGGAACCTTTAGTCAAATGAGCAGCCATTGATTTTTTGAAAGCATTTACAGGTTGAAGTGGAGTTGTAAGAAAACATCAGGTAAAAATTACAATCGTTCGATTAATTTAAACTTGTAAATCCAGTGGAAAATTCAACTAAATTTTCCCTGAATTTACACTAATCTGGTTATTGAGGTTTAATTTACATTATTGTTATTGATATTAGTTTTTATTAGATATTATTATATATCAACTATGTGCTATTTTAAATGGTTCTTGTTGAAATTATTATAATGCCTTGCTCTTATTTGTAATTATTTGGGAATGATCCAAGTTTTAGCAACTCCTCTAACATAATAGTAGTGCTAGTGCTGTAGAGTAGTGCAGTAGAGTAGTGCTGTTGATATCAAGTAAAAAAAGATTCACCAAAACCACTAGCATAATTATAATTTAATATTAGAGCCTATACTCTATACTTTAAAGATATTTTTTAAGAAATAATTATGCTAAAAAGAAAAATATGCATTTTTAAACTATGTCTTGTTTTATATAAAAGAATTTTAAAGAAAGTAAAAAATATTATGCAGATGTTTTTTAGGTATTTTGCATTCTGCTTTTTTTTTATTCAGAGTTGTTATTCTAAAAGGCTAAAATCTATAAGTACCTTATATTACACAGCACTGCTATGCAGTTCTGTGTAATATAAGGTACCTTATATTGCTTTGTAATATAAGTACCTTATATTACACAGCTTATATTATAAGCTGTGTAATATAAGTACCTTATATTACACAGCACAGCATGCTATCGGATCTGGAGGTTTGTAAATCTTGTATACACCTTTTGTATGCTATCAGATCTGAAGATCTGTAAATCTTACATACACCTTTAGTATGTCATACAATATTTGCTCATTGGTGAATCTGCTTATGACTAACCCCTGATATATATATATATATATATTATTATTATTATTATTATTATCATTATTTTAATGTTTTGTGTTAATTTTTTTTAGTACCAATGGATGCCATTTTTGATTGCTTCTTTGGCAATTTTGTATTATATTCCTTATATTGCTTTTCGATCTGCAAACACTGATATGATTAGTTTAAGAAGTTCCATAAAAGCAGCAGATATTGATGCTGAAAAAATTGCTAAGCATTACTTTAATATTCGCATGAACTCTCGTAGAACAATGACATTGAGGGTAGTTTTTAACATTCTCATTAAAGTTTTGTACATAGTGGTTAATTTGGTGGCTTTTCTGGGTGAGTCGATCTTACTTTTAAATAATTTGTTTTAATCTTATTAGAAGAAATTAAAGTAAAATAAAAATGCAGAATTAAAAAAAGTATTTTAGATGATTGTTAATCATATATTTTGTTAATAACATTAAAGGTATGGAGTTTAATAAACCCACTTTTTTTGTATTAGAAATCAGACAGTGGTTTTATGTAAAACCACTCTGACAGTGGTTTTATGTAAAACCACTCTGACAGTGGTTTTACGATTATACTATGTATTTTCAAAATTAATATAAATTTTTTTAATTTAAAGTAATAAGTTTTTCAACATTTTTAATTTGTATTTTTTTTATTTATATACTAAAAAACTCAAGATTTCTAATATCTTAAAATGTTGTTGATTTTTTGTTCGTTGTTATTATAAATAAAAATATTTACTCCAGATCATCATTTTCTCTCTGTTATTGTAATCCATTGCTTAGGAACCAGCTCGGTAATAATATATAAAGAACAACTTTTACCTTTTAGTTTACTGATGATCTGATTTTTTTTTGTCTAATAGTTTGTTGTTTTTTTTTAATTGTTTTTTTTATATAGTACTTTAAATATTTTGTACTTCATCATTTTGTTATCACTAGACATAAATTTAATAACATTAATATATTTATCTTATTAATCTTAATAACTGCATTTTAATAAGTGCATTTTAGTGGTAAAGTATAATCAAATTATAAAGTAACTTGCTTTCAACTTAAAGTAACTTCTTTCTAACTAAAAGTAACTTGAATTTTAATAAGTTTATTTATTATTTTAGTATAATTTTTTTTGCAACAATTCAGGACTTGATAACTTATTAAACGGTGAATACGTTGGATATGGTAGCAAGTGGTTAAAGTGGTCACAGCTTGAAAATTCTGTTGCTTATGATTACATGGGAATGCGTGACCATCCTAAACCAGGTTTGAAAGATGGTTACAATTTTATTTATGCTCAGATAATTTTTTTTATTTATTCTTTTGTTGTTTTTGTATAATAATAAATTTTTTAATTCATTAAAATAATAAAAATTAATAAATTAATATAAATTATAATATACAATAAAATTATTGATAATCAACACCGTTATCATTGCTTTGTATTTAAATTCCTCAGGTAATGTTCTTCTTCCACCATTTGGGTATTGTGAGATGTATGAGTCATCCAAAGACATAAAACATAGCTCTGCAAATAAACATAAGTTTTTATGTGAATTGTCGCAAAATATTCTTTACCAATATTGTCTTGTTGTCTTATGGTTTGCTATTGTGTTAGGAATTATTTTTTCAGTGTTGGGTTTGTTGTTTATACTTACCCACTATGCGTTTGGTCTTTTTGGTGTCAAGTAAGCTTTATAGTAATGTTTATATAAATTTTAATTTACAATGTACATCATTTTAAAAACTTTTTAAATATTTTTAATGATACATATGATCCGACTAATAACGCTATTTTATAAAACGTTTTTTTTTTAGAACACGTGGTCCAACTGGCAACAAGCTTTTTAAAGCGCTTTCTTTCAGAGAGCTGGAGTATTTGGAATTCCTAAGGAAAAAAAACATCATTTTGTATGGAGAAGTACTAGAAAAGTTGAAAGACAACATTATTGGACCGAATGCTCCATCTTTAGATGATGAATATTCTCGACGACCTAATGATACCTTACCATTATACCCTTCTTTACCGCCTAAATCAGATTTGTATGACGAAAAAGGTGTACGATATTAATTTAGTAACTTGATATTCTACAGAAGGTAAAATTGACATTTTTAAAGAACTTTTAGTGAGAATTTATATGGGTTTGAGGTCTGGGTTTTTATCCTCCTTTTGAGAATTTATTTGACCATTTGTAGTTCTTTTTTTTTGAAATTTTTGTTGCTGCATGAAGTTTTTGTGCATTTATTTTATCGGTTTAAAAGAATTTTCATCAAACAACATTTTTGTCATTGATAAAGTAATATATAGAGAAGCAACTTTAAAAATGTATTTTTTTATTTAGTCCTTTTAAACTTCAGATATTAATACTTGATTTTTTTAATATAGAAAAGGTTCATCTATTATTTAACCAAATTTAGTTTTATAATGCAGCTTGAAATTGAAAACGGAAAGTTAAAGTTTATAATTTTAACTTTCCGTAATTATAACTATAATTTATAAATGTAACATAATTTGACTAACTCGAAGTACAATCTCACATCATAATGCTTTTGCAAAAAATCAAAAATAAAGTATATAATTAAAAACAAAATACTTAATTAGAAAAGCTTTAAAAGATATTTAATATAACAACTGAAAACCGTTTATTCTTATAAAACCTAATAAAATTTTATTTATCTTCAGTTAGCACAAAACATATTCTAATCGTCTCAAAAACGTAATTAATTCACGGGTAGGGCATAGTCGGATCCAAATACCCGGGCACCCCTGTCCTAACTTTAAGATCCGGACCCGAATCTATTTTGTTCGGATATTCGGTTCCCAAGTATTTTTACAAAATACTATCTTTTATAATGTTAAATCCGCGTACAACAGCTTCTCAATCTGTTAACACTTAAAAGCGTTATTTTATATCAAAGCAATTTTTAAAAAGCTAATTTTAAAATAACTTTTCAAGAATTTTTCAAGCAATACTCTCGTTTGGCAGCATTTCTTAAAGTGTAAAAAAAATAAACGATACTGCTAAATGCAAAACCTGTAACGTCATTGTAACAGTAAAAGGAGGTTTTAGTAGTGTGATGCGAAAGCATTTAAAGATAAAACATGAAATAGAATTGCCATTATTACCTACTACAAAAGTAGTTCAAAGTTCATCCCAAAAAGATATCAGAAATTTTGTACAAACAAAAGATACCATTGCCACTATATTAACAGATCTCATCGCGATTGATGGACTTTTATTTAATACTGTTGCTAAAAGTAAGAGATTACGAGAATTTGCTTTAGCCAAAGGACACAAAATACCTTCAAGTTCAGTTTTTATTAGAAATATTTTACTGGCTCATGCCAAAGATATGAAGACTCAATTGGCGTCAGAATTATAAGAAATGAAAGCTAACAACATAAGATATAGCTTATCTGTTGATGAATACACTTCAATTAAAACGCATCGTTACATGAACATTAATGTGCACACAAATGGAAGCCTTTTTAATCTTTGCCTTGTATGTGTTGTTGGCAGTATGCTGTCTGAAAAAGCGGTTGACATAGTGAGTGAAAGGTTGAGAGAATTTAAACTAGATTTTTATTATGATATTGTTAGTACAAATACAGACGTTATCTCTAATCTGTTATGCTTAAATTTGAACATTTAATCAAGCCGCTACATCACTTCTGCTATGCCCATGCAATCCATTTGGCAGTAGGGGATGTACTTTATGTAAAACCAGCAGAAATTTTGGACCAGAACAATATTATTGATGATGATAATAATAATGGTAATGAAGATGACAGTGAAGAGCTTAATCCAAGTAAAGATCTAGGCTACATTAAATTTGAAAATAGTTCACAAGAACCTGTTGTTGTCAAAAATTATTTTTCAATTTTAAAAAAAGTTCGCACAATAATAAAATTGTTGAAAAATCACTTGTAAAAAGTGATGATATAATGCAGAAGCATGTAAAATCAGAATTCGGAGATAAACTTAAACCTATTTTAGACTGCAAGACACGTTGGAACTCATTATTTGATATGATTGATCGTTTTATCAAGTTAAGCAAATGCTTAAAGCATTTGCTTAACTTGATGGCTCTTATCGAAGTGCAGTCTCCAATAACAATATCGGGTACAGAGATGCAAATTCTTAAAGATTTAGCTAATGCTTTAAAACCTGTAAAATTAGTAGCCGAAGCACTTTACCGTCGAGACTCAAATTTGCTTACTGCAGAAAAATTCTTTAATTTTGTTTTAAATCAACTACAATCATATGATTCTGACATAAGCAAGGACTTATATAAAGCATAAAAAACAAGAATTTTAAGCATGAGAAATACTACTTTGATTCACCTTATGAAATATTTAAACAAACCTAGTTTTTTATTATCTGGTACTTTAGATGCCTTTGGAGTAAAGCTCAAAAAGTTATATTGTTAGCTAAAGACCTTTTACTAAGACTTTTACCTCAAAGAGTTGAAGAAGAATGTACCGAAGATAGTGAAGTTGATTTTGAAAAAAAAGTAGAAGAAAATTTTGATATCAAAAAACAGTTAAAAAAAGCTGTACAAAGTGAGTTAAAACAAGATTTCATTAATGAAGATATCAACATAAACTTTCTCAATAAAGAGTTTTCTGTCTTTGATTCAACAAAAAAAACGTACTTCAAATTTAGAGACTTTATTTCAATGTTTAAAAACTATTCAACCAACGTCTGCTGAGAGTGAAAGAGCTTTAAGTGCGTGTGGATTGTTTGTAACAAAACTTAGGAGTAGCTTAAATGATAACACTATTGATACCTTATGCTTCTTAAAAAATTACTATAAAAATAATAGAAGTGATAAAAATTAAAAATAAAATTGCTAATATGAAAAGCTACAAAGGATTTATTTCATACATTTCTTAAAATTAATAAAATCTCTTTGTGTACAATAGTTTTTTGCTTTGTTTTTATGATATGTTGGATCCGGATTTGGATCCGGATCCAAATCCGGAATATCCGGGTAGGATCCAGAACCGGATCCTAATTATTTTGCCAGATCCGATATGCCCTATTCACGGGTACGCTGTAGGTAACCTAACATTATCTTATTTTTCATTTTGTCTTTTACGTCATAAAAAATTCAATTTTATTTTAAGTATTGAATCTAATAAATTTATGAAAATAATTGAACTTATAACATAGCGATTTTATTATAAAATATCGCGTTCTGAATATCACAGCTTTGTAGCTATCGATATTACTACGATATATCGCTGATGGAACGTTAAATATTTATAAAATCAACTTACGTCAAATTTTAGTCTTTGTTTTTATCTATTGTTCTATGTACAGAAGTAAGTTGGGATTGTCACCAAAAATATTTATTCGATTTATCGCTAGTTAGAGCATTAAATATTTATAAAATCAATTTACATCAAATTTTAGTCTTTATATTTATCTGTTGTTCTATGTATAGAATAAGATTGTTATCATGATTGTGATCATGATCATCTTAAAACTGTTAATAAATCTCAAACGTTCCAGGTCATGACCATGTGTGAAGGCGGTACTGCTTTTACGTTTCCTCAATTTTATTGCACCTGAATATGAGACAGCATTGGCGAATTTGTCAGGATTGATGACACACGCTGCAAAATGCTTAATGACGTAGAGAAACAAATGCAGGAGCGAAGAATGTGCGCTACATTGCTCCTGGACAATGTTTGCGACAGCTATGGTGGACAAGAGATGTTCAATGACAATTATAAATCAAAAACTGTAGTCAATAAATCAAAATAAATCACAGAATCCTCAGTAAAATTCATCAATGTAATGAATCAGCGGTTGTTACTATTGAGGTTGACGGTATCCAACTACGAAACAAAGTTATTTTTGTATTAATATGATGATGAAGGAATTAGTTCCATTAAATTGCTATAAGGGTTTTTTTATTTCCCCGTCTGGAATGGCAAAGTTTGGGTTCAACTAGTGTGTAATAGCTCTAAAACGAAGGTAATGTTAATAAAATTGAAATTAAAAAACAAGATTATGAAGCAATATTTAATCGTGTTGAAAGAAAAAGTTAACTGGAAACGATGAGATGGAAAAGACCGCGACCATTTATTTAACAAAGTTGCCTAATACGCATTAGTTTGTGCCGAGCAGCAACAGCAAAGTTATGATTTGGTAGTTTTTGCCTTGTCGTCCATGCTTGGAAAAAATATGCCTCTGGATCAAACGTAGCACATATTTCATCCAAGCAGGCCATAAATGCGAAAGCGAAGACAGCATCTTGATGACAATCATGGGCAGTGTTCTTTGCACGGATCAACTTAACAGGCACCGTCTTAATGTGTCGCTTGCCTTCAAGTGACGATGGTTTTCTAGACAAGAGCCGCAAATACGTTGCTGAATGTGACAAGCGGTATCCTTGTGCAAGCAGTGATTTTCGCTTGTCATCTAATGTTTTTCACAACCTCAACGTTTCGTAACAACAACTACGGTAACTACTGGTCTACCAACCGTATCGCGTTTGAACTTTCAGAGCTTTAACTTCAGATTTGGCATTTCATAAGTTATTTCCTGCAGAGTGATTCATTTTGCTACGACACTTGCGTTGACAATGAACTTCACCTTCTAACTTTTTCAGCTGATTCTTTTTTTTTTAATATCCATTTTTGACTGTATTTATTTTAAACTTCAGATCTTCAGTCATCAATCCAGATCTCGAATCCAATATAAAGCTAAAAGTTGTTCGTTCAGTTGTGAGATGTCTGAAGTTAAATTTTTTTTGTTTTGGCGCTTCTGCTTTGGGCTTAACTATTTCTACTGTCATTTCAGAACTGGTTTCGACACGTTCGTTAGCAACAGTAACAGTAGTGGATGATTTGTCTGTTTATTGTTGCCTTAAAGTCTCCACAACTATATCTGTAATTGTTGTTTCAGTTTTGCTGCTAGAATTAGTAGACATTGAATGTTTAGGGATACTGGAAACAAACCAAAATGATATTCGTTTTAGGGCCGACGACACGGGTTTTGAAGTGGAATAGGGGGCCCCCTGGCCCCCAAGTGTTGTTGGCCCAACGTTGACTCTGCTGTTGCAACGACTTTCTCCTAATTTCATTAATTACTTATATTACTTGTATGTTATGTCATCACTTTTAATTGCAAACGATTTGCTTCCTTCTGCTGGACTGATTTCAAACTCTGAGGTATAGATTTGCACACGGCAACACACGATCGGTTGTATCCATCA